GGTCAGGACCCTGGGAGGGGTGTCTTGCAGGACCCTGGGGGGTGCGGGTCAGGACCCTGGGAGGGGTGTCCTGCAGAGCCCTGGGGGAGAGGGGGTGTGGGTCAGGACCCTGGGAGGGGTGTCCTGCAGGACCCTGGGGGGGTGCAGGTCAGGACCCTGGGAGGGGTGTCCTGCAGAGCCCTGGGGGAGAGGGGGTGTGGGTCAGGACCCTGGGAGGGGTGTCCTGCAGGACCCTGGGGCGGGGTGGGTCAGGACCCTGGGGGAGGGGGGTGTCAGGCCCCTGGGGGAGAGGGGGCATCAGGCCCCTGGGGGAGAAGGGGGGTCAGGGCCCTGGGGGAGGAAAGGGGTTTTGGGAAGCAGGGTGGGATCCCAGGGTCTCTGTAGGTTTACAGATCCTGGCAGGCGGAAGAGGAGGACAGAGTCCCCTCAGCATGTGAGGACCCCTGGGGTCCCCCTCCCCTGAGAGGAGGAGGATACGGTAGTCTCCTCCGTCCCGGGAAGGGAGGGGAGGCGGTCACCTGTCCAGGAGCTCCCAGTCCTCGCCTCCCCACTGGTCCCGGAACTCCTCAGTGTTCATGCCTCCGACGCGGTCAAAGTCCGACTTGTAAATCCCAAAGAGGCCGAAGCCGTTCACCTCCCAGTACCCTGGGGCGGGGCGGGGGCGGGGCGTCTTCAGACACCAGGGTCTGTGGGGTTCCCCCGCCCGCAGAGGAGCTTCCCGGCCTTGGGAGGGGCTGGTGCCTGTCCATCATCAAGGGGTTCTCAGAGTCGCCTTTCCCTGTTGGTCATAACCCAGGAGGCCTGCGCACGACTGGGGTGCTGGAGGAGGTTCCTAGGGACCGGGCATGACCGTAGGGGTGGGGGTGGGGGCGCCTGGGAACTATGGGGAGACCTAAACATTACGGGGGGACCCTGGGTATTATAGGGGACATGGGGCTCCAAGCCAAACCTGGGGGTTTGGAGAGGCCCCCGGGGAGCCTCGATTTTACCCTGGCATTGGTGGGACCCCTGGCGTTACTGGCGGGCGGGGGCATCCAGGGCATTACCGTGCGGGTCCCCCGGCGAGCTCCCGCAGCCCAGGCGCATGACCACAGGTGCAAAGGCCAGCTTGCCCTCCACACAGTGCTTGCGGATACCATCCAGGATGTTGGGGGGGAAGTGGATGTGCAGGTCGCAGAGGAAAACGATGCTGCTGGCATCCTGGAGGTCGCGGGAGGTCTGAGCCTGCCCTCTGCTTCTCCCAGGCTCCCATCTCCCTCTCCCCGCCCGCCCCACCCGGCCCGCGCACCTCCACCGCGTCCACTCCAGCCTGCAGCCCCGCGGAGCGCTCAAAGTTTCCGGTTCGCCTCAGGTACTGGTACCTGGCGGGTAAGGAGGAGAAGTCACAGGCACCAATCCTGGTGGCAGAGGCAGGAAAACCAACCTCCCAGAAGAGGAAAGATGCGCTCGGTCCTCCCTGGCGGGGGGCTGGAAGGCGCAGTTACCGGGGGAGCCGCGCCGCGCGCAGGGCCCGCTCCACATCCATGTCCTCGCTCTCAAAGTCCACCAGGATGACGCTGAAGTGAGAGTCCCCGGTGCGGGCGTGCAGCGCGGCCATGTCCGCCAGGAACTGTGCCACCCAGCGCGCCTGGTTCTTCACTGGAGGAGGACGGGGCTACTGAGCCCACCAACCTGACCTGGCGGTACCCCGTCCAGGGCCATGGGGCTACCTCTCCTTCCCACGTGGCCTCCTGGGGCCCCCACCCCATACCAGGTGCCCAGCCCGCAGCCCCGCACACCTGGCACGATGAAGTGTACCATCACATCCTGGCGCCAGGCCAGGCGCAGCGGCCGGCAGAGCTCCGGGCGGCCGTCGGGGCGCGCGGAGGCGGCGGGAGCAGGCTCCGGGCTTTCTGCGTCCCCAGTGCGCGCCCCCGGCAGCCGCAGGAAGACGTACTCCGACAGCCGCCGGCGGCCGCCCCCGCGCTCCTGCAGCTCCAGCTCCAGGAGGAAGCGACTCCCGCGCGCAGAGTCGCGGCGCTTCTCCACGTTCACGATGCGCAGGAGCGCGAAGCGCCTGGGAGGCGGGGCCGGGTCAGCCCCTTAGTGCTTCCAGCCTGCATCCCCGCCCCAACCCCATTCTCCCTGCAGGTCGCCCCCAGCCCCAGAAACGAGGGAACACTCAACAGACCTGGGGGCTTAGGGGGTGGGGGAGGGCTGCTGTGCATCGCTCCCCTCCCAGAAGGCGGGAACACTTCCCACATTTCTTCCCCGCAGGGCGGTCCACAGTGGGAGGAGTCCCTAAGCCCAGGCCATCTACTCCTCTGGAGCCTTCTGGCCACCACTGAGGTCCACAGTGACCTTTATGTCGTGCACAGTAACCTTCAGGGGCACCCACTGCCCGCAGGGAGGTTCGAACATCCTAAAGTGGCTTCTAGGACCGTAAGCAGTCTCTAACTTGTGGCCTTCAGTATCTCCCCACATTTGGTGAGCAGACTTCCTTTTCCAAGGGGGTCTTTGTCCCCAGTGTCCCCGTCTGGATGCTTGCCCCAATGCTCCTCAGCGCCTCCTCTCCAAGGCCCTGGGCAGCTCCTCTGAGAAGCCTGCTTTTTGCCTCCCATGGCACCAGCCCAGGGTCTATCCTGACCCCTGAGGGAAGAAGCTGGGGGCAACTCCATGATCCCCTCTCTGGCCTCTTCCCCAGGCTGGGTCCTGCTGAGTACCTCACTTCCCCTCCACTCTACACACCAGAGGCTTCTCCTCATCCTAGGAAAATAGGACCCTGCCCCTGACTAAGGTCACTTCTTCCTTCTGCCGCGTGCCTCCCTTTGCAACCAATGCCCCTCACCCTGGGAGACCACCTGTGTGACCTCCGAGGGGTCCAGACTCTCCCTTCAACCCCTGCCAGCCCCACCATCCTCTCCTCAAGTGTCAGAGACTTTCTGCCCCAAATGCTCTGGGTCTGTCTACACTCTCCCACTGCTGTGGGAGGGTGGGGCCACAGCCATGACCACTCCACTGGACAGACCCCTCATGCCCACAGGACGATGAGCTGGTCTCAGGAAGCGTAGAGCCAAGGGCGGGCTGGCCTCTCAGCCGCCCAGAATCAATCCCCCCACAGAGGGTCCAGGCCATCCCATCACCCCTCTGGACCACACCTGTCAGTCATGGCCCCTGGGTTTCCCCTCCTGCCCACACCTCTCCAAGGCAGCCACACACCTGTCTACAAGCCAAACAGGTCAATCCCTGGTCCTGCTCAAAACCTTGTATCACAGGCAAGAAAAAGGAGTCCTGAGTGTGGCTTTCAAGGCCCACAACGGTCCCTCTCCGTCCTCTGCCCGCCAGCCCCCTGGCCTCCTGCCCCATGCCTTTGCCACTCATTCTGTCTATGCAGGCTCTGCCCCTCCTTCAAGGCTCAGCACATCTCTGAGGGCTCCCCAGTGCCTCCCCTCAGCCCAAATTGGGGCCCCCACTCTCCATCCCCTACCAGCATTAGGTGGAGACAGGTCTGGATTTCTAGTGCCTGGGGGAGACCAGGGTGGGCAATGGGGCAGGAACCCTGCACCCTCCCCTGGAGTCAGGCTGAGACCCCTCTTGGAAGACCCAACAGCACTGTGCCAGGAGAAGAGGAGGGGTCCGGGTCTACGGTGAGAAGGTGGGGTTTGGAGATGCAGGACAGGGGAGCCAGCCCTGGGGAGGGCGGGGAGGCTCCTAACACTGACAGGGGCCCTGGGCAGTAAGGAGCCCCAGAACGGAGAAGACTGGAGGAGGAGACACTTCCTTGGGTTGCGTGTACCACCCCCACGTCGGCACCCTGTTAAGCCCGGCGAAGGTCTGGGGGTCCCATGGAGGCCGCGGTGCCCCCTTCCCGCGGGCGCCCCTCCCCCATACCCGCCGTGGCGCGTGTTGAGCCGCTCCATGTACTGAGCCACCACGTCCACGGCCTCGGCCTCGGGCAGCTGCAGGTTCCCAGACACGTTGCAGCGCAGGTCGTTCCAGTCCGAGCGCAGCAGCTCGAAGTCCACGGCGCCCACGCTGAACGTGCGCTGCCAGTCGATGGCGTCCTCGCGCCAGCGGCTGGGCGCCGGGCCGGCTGCCTCCTCGCTGTCCTCTGACGCCGCCTCGTCGCCCGGGGCCCCGTCATCGTCCCCTTCCTCCTCCTCCTCCCCAGGCAGCTGCGGCCTGGATACCTGGGACAAGCTCAGGAAGGAGGTCACAGGCCGCGCTTCCGACGAGGAGTTCGAGTCCGCCGTGGGTGCCGCGAGTCCCGGCGCGCGTGCCTGGCCCTCGCGGCTTCCCTGGGCGGCCTGCACCCGGGCCGGGGGCCTCAGCTCTGTAGCCTGGGGGCCACCGGTCCTGCGGCCTCGAGACCTAGGCGGGTGTGGGGGCGCCCGCAGCTGCACCCTGGGCAGAGGTCTGGCACGCAGGAAGATGCCGCGGAAGGGCGGCCAGGGCGGGCCGCGTGGGCCGAGCCGCGCCAGGCCCGGGGGCGCCCGCAGTCCCGGCCGCACCCGCGTCACATACACCTTCGGGGGCGGCTGCTGGGCAGGGGTGCGGGGGTGTGGGGCGCGGCCCAAGAGGAGGGGCAGGGGGCGGACGACCCAGCTCAGCGCCCGGGAGTGCCTGGGGGCCGGCTCGTCCTGGGCACTGGGAGGCGCTGGCGGGGCGGGGGTGGCTCCGGGCCGGGCGGGGGTCCCCGGGGACGGGGTGGGGGTCTCCAGGGCTTGGGCGGGGGTCCCCGGGACGGGGACTCGGCGGCCGCTCTGCTGCGGGGGCGCCTCGGTGGGCTCCAGACCATCGAGCGGCTCCCCGTCGTCCTCGTCGTCCAGGAAGTCTGCGGGGAGCGCAGGTTAGCTGCCCGGCACAGGCACGCACGGGCTGGGGGCTGCGGGCACTCACCGTCGGGGTTGAGGAAGAGGAAGGCTCGGCGCTGCACCTCCTCCGCTTCGTCTTCATCCCCTTCCTCGCGGTCCACCTTCATGTATTTGTAGAACCCAAACCTGCGGCGGGGTTGGCATCAGAGACCCCGAGCCCCTCCGCGAGGCCCTGCCCCCTTTCCTCCTCGCGTCCCGCTCCCCCACCTTTCCAGGTACAGCGGCGACTCGCGGTAGAAACACTTGTTGTCCGTCTCCATGTGAGTGAGGCGCGTGTGGTCATTGGGGTAAACGAAGGACAGGTACACCTAGGGGCGCGCAGGGGGCTTAGCACGGGCTCAGGAGGCGCGGGAGACCCTTGGAGGGGAGGCCTGGGCTCAGGGAAGGTCTGGGCGAGGCACGCTTACAAACTGCAGTCCCTGGTATCTGGCGATGGGAAAGTCCTTGACCACGTAGGTAGGTGCGTAGGCGCAGGGCTGCAGCACATTCTCCAGACTCGAAGGCTCGACCCGAGGAGCTGCGGAAGTGGTGGTCACAGAGTGGCCCGCCAGGAACCCCCCCCCCCCCCCCCCCCCCCCCCCCGCCCCCTCGGGCCCACTCTCACTGAGGAAGAAGGTGTCTCGGGGGTCGGGCCGCAGCATGTCGGCTTTGGGCTCCTCCTGTGGCGGGCGCCCCCCCACGTGGCTGGCTGGAGACTGGGGGACGTGGGCCACGTGGTCCATCTTCAGGGCCGACTCGTCTGGGTACAGAGGGATGTGTGGGGTCCCCAGGAGTGCCCAGAGACCACCGCACCCTTCCCCACCCCCATCCAGAGACTCCCAAAGAGACCACCCATCAGGAGCCTGCCCCACTCCCCAGAGAGGCCGGGCTCCGAACCTGCGTACAGGGAGATGTGAGCGGAGCCTATGACCTCGAACTTCAGGCCCGGCAAGAAGGCTCTCCACTGGGGGTGGAGACGGTCGTCAGGACCAATGGGGCGGG